AAACCACTTTGAAAAATACTATTAAGAAGAGTATTGTGAGCTGTTTTTCTTTTTTTTATGAAATTACTATTTGAGGAAGCACTAGTAGCCAAGAAGGCACTTAATTCCATTAGCTGCGGTTGAATTTCGGGGTAGTTTTCATGTATGGAGGAGGGGAAGGTCTCCCCAACTCCCCACTAAAGATTTTATGCGGAAATGCATGTTTTTTAATTAACCTAACCTAAAAATTCATATCTTTTTTAGGATGCAAGGACTAGGGAAGTAGGAACCAGTACTTCTGCCTTATCTCCGGCGCTGCAGGAATAGCAGCCCCTCCACCTTTGCGTGACTAAGTCACAAGCATCACTCCCCTTCACACCTTCGGCTTGTTGCTCTCGCTCCGCGCCTAGGGGCTCTAAAAAAACACTCTAGGGGTAGGGAAGACCATGGCGTGTCGGAGTTGACCAAGTCAGTTATGAATTAAAGGTTGTTGTAAGTCACATGGATAGATTTTATTATTAATCAATATTCGTTATTAGTTTAGTTAATTTTTCGCTTACTCAAATTCATATCGCTCAAGTTATTAAAACAGTATCTCATCATCAGTCGCTAAGTATTTTTTTAATTCGATCGTTTTATAATTCCCCTTTATATAATAATGGTCTGTCAGATTCTTTACATTATGTTGAATACAATGCATGCAGCTACACCGACTACCGTTGTAGAACGTATTGCAGCTCGTACGTACAGCTCATGGTTGCCTCAAAGCCTAGCGTAAATGACTTTCTCGACCATTTTGACCAGGAAGGTAGTATGGTGCAGAATTTGCGCATGTACAAGCCTGCACAAAAATGAGAGCACAGCCCCGAATATGGGTGGTGTATGTGTGTTTACAATAAAAAAAGTGTTGTACAAACTATTACAATTAATGAGTCAACAAAAGAACAGAAACTGTTTGTATTAACATTGTAGTAACGCATCCAACACTGTCTCTTACGAAGAAAATAATATGATCTTACTATTTTCAGCGAAACGATCAAGTCTTACAACTACGGCAGTATCTTTTTGGCTAACTCGTATAAATCCTTCCATTCGCGAATGTCTGTCTTATCTCACCGCAACAAGCGGGTCAACTCGAACGCTCGCTCTGCGAAGCGTTTGGCTACACGACATGAGTACAGAAGCAGAGGCAAAGTTTCAAAGAGTGCACATGTGTGAGTTAGCACTAGCGACCTGTAGCGGTTAATAGAAACGTTTCTCTGCGTACGCGACAGGCCGCCAGTGCTCATTCAACACGCGCAATAGGCTATTTGTCAAGTTTTTGAAAACGTTCATACGTATTTATTAGCGTATAGTGACTCCATAAAAAGTGTATATTTATAATTTTCTTGCGTATATCAGTAAAAAAACAGGCGACGATAAACAGTACAAAGTAATGTCACTTCGACAGCATGTTTACAAGCAGATGACGTCATTTAAGGCTCGGACAATACTAGCCGTTTTCGGTCATGTTACCATATAGATCAAAATACTTTTCTATTTTATGATTTTTAGTAATATTATCGACAAAAGTAGTCGTAGTAGTAGTAGTTTTTTGTCAGAATAGTAAAATTGCTCCCAATATTCATGTTCAATACGCATGCCAATAACTCGGCTGCACTAAGCTAAAATCAAGAGAAAGTATCTTGAATTATTTTACTTAAATTTTTACACCGTTGGATCCTTCATCAAAAGACGCACATTTCTAAATGAAATTAAAAACAAATATAATTTCTTGTTTTTTAAGCCATTATGAAAACTCGGCCAAGTGCATGTCGTGCCACGCGCAGTGTAGGGTTCCGTAGTTGCCTGTAGTTACTACAATATATATATAAAAGCACTTTAAAAATGGTAAAGTACAGTAACATATCAAAAATCACTTCAATAGGTTCATTATTAGCTGAGATAATTGATTTTTAAGAAAAAAAACTATACTCTATTTTCCTGTAAACTTTTCGAAAATGCAGATTAACTATCTGCATTTTCGAGCTTTAGAGCAGCCGAAGTGGTACATTATTCTTCATACTTTCAATCAACCTTTTGTATTAAGTTTTGTCTCTGTGTCTTCTTTACTCATGTGGTTTGGCTCGGCGGCAAAGTTCTTTCATTGTTCACACGTTCGTCCCTACTTAGGCAAATTCTTTACGTGTTCCGTGAGACGCGAGCGCCCTGAGCTAATCTCGCCCAAGCTGTAAATTACAAGCTTATCTATGCTAAATTACTGCGTTTTGTCGCTTCTGAACAGTTTAATAGGTTGTTTTGCCGAGTGACACAAGCATGCCGGGAATACCGACTGGGTTATTGAGATATCGCTTACGTAATATCATGATTTGTGAGATTTGAAACACGGAGTGATTTGTTAGTTGCGTTTTGCCTTGGATAATCGCCTCTGCATCTCTGTTTGCCAGGTTTCATTTGTGTATAAGTTTAAAATTTTATTAAAATTATTTATTTTAATATAAATTGAGATAATTGTCACATTTTGAATTCTTGTAGCTACGTGTTTTAATTGGTTTTTAGAACTTTGAGATAGCAGCATACACCCCAAGAGATTTATCGTTAAGCGTGCGTATGACCAACTTACTTTAACTCAGAAATCAGAAATCAGAAATCAATATATCTTTATTCAAATTGGATGTATAGTACAACTCTTTTGAATCGTCCAAAATTTATTTTCCCTACCACTCGTTACTTACTTACCAACTGTTAAGGGTTACGGAATAACTGTACTGGTTACTCCGTGATCATGGCGCTTGCAACAGTGCCGAAATATCGGAAACTTGCTATAAACAATAACAACAACCTACATGGTAACAATCCCGTAAATAACATAAATTACTGTACCTAATAGAAATTTAAGTTATTTACGGGATTGTTTTTTATTTTCAAAAAAAACTGTAATGTTAGTGACCAAGAAAGTTTAAAACAATATATAGTCAAAATGAGATCAAAATTCTACAGTTACAATAGGTAAGTGCCCAAGCGAGGCCAGTTAAAGTTAGTAAAATTTAACTAGCTCTGTGGTGCAACGCTGTCTCGTAACACGAACGAGAGAATGTAGAATATAAAATAATTTTCACCCGCACAAAAACCAAAAAAAGTCTTTAAAGTCGAAAACTGGAGCGAATTAAATACTTTTCTGTTTATTTCAGCATTCGCGTCGAGTCGCGCCGTTTGTAGGCAGCAGGCTCAGTTCGCGTTTAGATAAACATATAATGAGGCCGATGCCATTCCAGGGACGGCACTCGTGAGGGTTCCAACTTTTCCGCTGACTTGACTCTCGTATTTACGATTATTGCTTTCATCGTGGTCGTCCGATTAATTTTTGTTTCGGCTAAACAGTATTGTGGCCAAAAAAGGCACGTGTTTTTATGTGCCGTATCCCATTCTACACGGTGCTTACATCATTTTTTTGTTTTGCTGCTTCGTTTATTTGTTTTGGTGGTCAAATCATTATTGTTATTTAAACTATCATACTGATACTAGTGAAATTCTCGTGCTGAACTGGGAAAGTAAAACAATTAATTAATTAAAAGTAATTCACCAGTTGGGAATTCAGCCCTTAAGAGATTAAAATAGGGGATGAAAGCTTGTATGAAACTTTGTTAATTTTGAAAAAAAAAAAAGACCATTGCTAGACGATCGCAGTAAAAAGTAAACTGTTTTAAATTTTGTAACTTTTTAAATCTTATTTTTAAACACTCTGATTTTTTTATGTTGAAAAGAGATGATAAAAGAGAGCATGAAACTTCATTATTTTTGGAGCTAAGAAGTGTGTTATTTTATTAACAATTTTTGTAAACCTACACATGTACATATTAAACTTGAAACTTTAAATCGATAACAGTTAAAAATAAGTATATTTGATTATTTTGAAATAATACGTATTTTATTTTAGTATATTATTTACGGGTATATAAATTGTTATAGTATGGTGTTAAAAAAGGACAAGAAAAATTCACGGGCAAATTCTAGTACACCTTTACTTACTCAAATAATGTCTAGTTTATCTGGGTATGGTACCTGACAGCACAGGTAGTACCGCTCGTGTCTTTCAGCAGGCCCAACGTAGATGTCTCGGAGGTCAATGTCTACATCCACCTTACATATGAAATAAACGACTAGCTTGCCTGCGTATGGTTCCTGACAACACGGGTAATACTGCTCGTGCGTTTCAGCAGGCACCCCTTTTTTTTTTGTGACGAGGGGAAATGCAGTTACGCACCATACCGTGACGCTGACTAGGCGCACGGCGTGTGTGGGACTCGCCGGCACGGGAAACAGTGCCGACCCTACTCAAGCAGGACCAGTGCGGAAGGCCACACTGATCCTACTCCACTAAAACCCCCCGGTACCCTCCTACGCCCATATGGGGGCGGTCTTGGGGCCGACGCACCTGCGTGCGCCACATCTCCGAGCACCCCAGCAGGCACCCCTAGGTTATCTATGGAATGACGCGTAGTACCCCCGGAGGTCAATGCGCACATCCACCATACATACCATATTAACGACTAGCTTACCTGGGTATGGTTCCTGACAGTACGGGTAGTACCACTCGTGTCCTTCAGCAGGCACCCACACTCGACTGATGGGTAGTACTCCTGAAGGTCAATGCCATACATAGCACATCAACAACAAGCTTACCAAGGTATGATACCTGCCAGCAGGGGAGCAAAGGCTGCTGGTCCTCAGATGCGATACTCGATCCTGATGCATACAATGCCTGATGGCGGCCACCGCTGGGGTTTTAGTGGGTAAGCCTCCCCCTTCTGGGGAGGAGAGCCCCACATAACCACCATGTGGTATGCAATTTAATGCATTTCCCCAGCGTATCAAAAAAAAGGTATGATACCTGACAGAACGGGAAGTACACTTGTGACTTTCAGCAAGCATCCCCAGGATGGCCCACTCGATAGACGGGTAGTACTCACGGTGGTCAATGTTCACATCCACCTTATGTAACACATTAATGGCTAGCGTACCTGGGTATGGTTCTTGGCAGCATGGGTAGTAGCGCTCATGTCTTTCAGCAGGCACCCCCAGTATGTCCCACTCAACTGACGGGTAGTACTCCCGGAGGTCAATGCCCACATCCACCATGTCGCCTTTCTTCTGGTTGATGTGCTTCAAATCGATCTACAGAAAAGTTTGTGGACTGAGAATACAAAGCTCAAGATGACTGGAGTATATTCTTTGCTTTCAGTAACGACTTCATTACACTATCAAGCTCTTAGAACTAAGCAAGACTCTTTGTAGTTTGGTATTAGCGGAATATTTATAAAGTTTTGAAATTATATTATGAATATAAATAAATAATTATATAAATATTTCCAACACTCACACCAATTAGCCCAGCCCCAAAGTAAGCACTGTAAGGCTTGTGTTATGGGATACTAGGGTAACGGATACAATACATATAAAGTACACATATAGAAATACATATTATTGTATTTCTATATTTATATAGAAGTACATATTAAACATCCATGACTGGAGTACAAATGCTCGTATTCATCACACAAACATCTGCCCCCACCGGGATTCGAACTCGGGACCTCTCGAGTCGGCAACACTATGAAACCACTCGGCTACGGAGATCGTCAATATATTTTGCTTTAAGAGGATAAAAAGTATATTTCTGGTAATAACTCTAGAGTTTTAGCCATCTGTTTTACTATACAGGGTGTAAAAAATCCTATGACAAAGACTCATTCTGTACTCCGAAACAAGTAATATTACAAAATATTATACATTAAAAAATATTTTCAAGTTAAAAATTTTTTTTTTTTACCAGTAGGCAACGTATAAAATTATAATGTAAAAATCTTGAAAAAAATATTGTGACTTTGACCTTCAATATCTCCATAACCAGAAAGTTCCCAGGTATGGTCCAGAAGAAAAAAATTATCGTCATGATGTGGAAAATAAGTGGCCATCGACTTTGTTAAAGGTTTTTTTACACCCTGTATATTCTACCATTCGAACAAAATACAGGATAACGAATTTCTTGAACAAACTATTGGCATTAAAGAATTTGTTGTAATTATGATATTACCTGATCACCATCATAGCTCCAGGAACCGAACTTGAGAAAGCAGGTCTGCTGATCGAACGGGAAGTATCGTACGTCGATCTCGCAGGAAGACTTGAAGATGGCCGGCGGAGTCCACAAGACTTTGCCGGTGTAATGCAGTACCGCTTTGGTCATCGTCGTCACTACATATTCACCGTCGGCACTGATTGGAATAAAGTGAACGTTAGAATAACAAAGTGTATATAAAAACGGAATCACACAATTCTTTGCTCGGTTAGCTGATTATCAGAAATGAAGACACTTTAAATAATTATCATCGTCATCATCTACTTATTAATGCCCCATTACGGGGGTGTACTTTGCTATAATATATTCAGTCCAATAGCCATTTCTTAAATACTGTCATTGCGGTAGTACAGATTAACCTTAACTTAGTGTCGCCGCACACGGGCCACACGCCACAGCCACAAACGCCGCCACGAGAAGCTAGAAGCGGCTACTAAAGTGGCTGAAACACGCGACAGCGGCCGACTAAGGTAAAGGAGAGAGGGGTCGGGAATCGCGCGAGTGACTTGTGGCGGCGTTTTGTATCGGCGCATTAAGTGGCCGGTGCGGGCCACAAGAAGCGAGCAACGACGATTTGTGGCGTGTGGCGGCCACCGGCATACCGTGTGTAGCGAATCCATATAAAATGTATGAAAACTACAAGAAATATGCCGGTGGCGGCGTTTTGTGGTTGTGGTCGGTGGCCCGTGTGCGGCGACACTGAGTGTCCAAAACATTTGATATTTTTGGGCTCTGTACCTAAATGATGACTACCAAACTCTAACACCCAGCCTTCGACGTCGGAACACTAAGCCATCCATCATCGAGAACAGGTAAATAATTAAAAATGTTCAGAGTATGTTTTTCTACTAAACCATTTTACAAACATTACTTCTTTAGAAAAATTAGTTACGATTGCCTATTCTGTTCCGAATTAGTTTGGTGTCGCAAAAACTTTTCTTTCTCTTTCATTATTGCAATCTGCCGACATCTGAATATTGATTCATATTTTAATCAAACCATCTTTCTTAAAATCTTTCCATTATTAATTCGTTTTTCCTTTCCTTTTAGATCTTTGTAAATTAATATCAATAAAACGAATTCTTTATTTAATATTGTGTCCGGCCAAAACTTTGCTTGACAGTTGGCTAGTAAATTTGATTTAGAAAATAAAACTTACAACGATAATTTAACGCTTGATAATTGGCTTTGAAAGTCCATAAAATGTAGAGACTCTTAAATTAAAATTGCTCTGTCACAGTGACCATAAATTGCTGTGACAAACGGACATATCCAACGAGTCGGACGCCCGTATATTGTGCCACGTCCATCCGGGAACATTTGCGATGTGAACTCATGCACTGTTTAATGCACCGTTAATCATTTACTACACGATGGTTTGTTCTTCAACGCAGACACATTCGGAGAGGACTTTTTAACAAATATTTGGATTATTTTTTGTGGAAGTGATTGAAAACAAGATGAATACTAAAATATCTATTCAATCGCAAATGCTTTTGTTATCTCCTGAAGAAAAGAGCAGATGCCTTCAATATTTTTTGCCGGCATTCTTTGATAGATCAAAAGATAGAAAAGGATAAGAAGTTACTAAAGACATTTCAGTAAAAATTTAGTTCAAACATCACTTTAAACCAAGAGAAGTGAATGATTGTATAGAAGATGAATGATGGAAATTTGAACTTGAAAAATGAATACTTCCATTCTCTACTGGTTGAAACAGTTGCAGGCGGTGTCTACAATGATGTTAACCGTCTGCAATCTTTAAGAAAAAAATAATAATTATGGAATAGGTTTAGAAGAATTTCAAAATTCTTACATTAATTATTTTTCTTGAGATTTGTCACATGATATTCCAAGTGACAATTCACCCACTTGCATCAAAGTTCTTAATTCAAATTAAGGATTAATCGTGTTTAAGACATCATCTTTTTCAATTATATTATTAACAAGCTTTTATGTAAATTGCACCGTTCGTATGCGATATGTAGCTTCAAAAGTAAACCATTATTCGACCACTTCTTGTTATCCGATTTAGCTAAAATTTGGCATACTTATGTAAGTCTAGTGACAAAGCAATAATTTGATGTAGCAATGACTGGATAGGCTTCCTGGAGAAGCTACTTTTTTCAGTGAGTCGATTGTGAAACCCCCGCGAACAATGCAAGTAGTGGGAATCTATATAAACTAACCTGGTCTCAGGATGAGGTAGGTAGGAGATCTTGATTGTTTAATTGACGGGCGTCATGCCGGCCGGCAATTCCACCTATATTAGCGTAGTCCTTTTGATTCTACACAAAACATTCACAGGAGTTGATCACAACCACTAAAATCCACAGACGTAAGCTTCCAGGAAGGATTTAATGAATATAAATTCCCTTTTTTACTAACAACGCAAGACTCAGGCGGCCGTTAAACGTTCTTCCTAAGCGCACCAAATCGAAGTGTCTTTTTTGTTTTCCGGTTGCGGCGCCACCGTCGCACGCACCATTTTTAATTGTTTTTAATTATAGGAAGGGAAACATGTAGGCAAAGGAATTAATAGTTCTCAAGGATTGGCTAATGTTTATACAGATGCCACGTAGCTGTTCTGATGATGGAGCTGAGAGGTGGCCATAGGATCTCCGTTTTAAAACGAAATAACGCCACCGAGACATAGCAAACGACGTTACGTCTTCCCTACATACAGAAAATACTGAATTATAAATACTAAAAAATAAAAAAGAAATAAAAAACTTTTTTTAAAACCAACCTTCTATTGCTTGTTAATAAAAATAACTAAAAAGCTAAAAATTATTTTTAATCTGTTAAAATAATACTATTTTGTAGGTACAATATATCCCCTTTTTAAAAGCGTATTACATTTAAAGGGTGTAACGCGCTTTTTTTAAATGGGTTATAATTTAGCTATAGAAACGTATATTTTATCAGACTTGTTTACTTCCAGTGGTTTCGCAAATCAAATAATTAGCTAATGATTTTAGATTTAAATGCATTTTTTGAGTTAATAAATGGATCCACGAGTGAGAACTTCAAATAGAGATAGAATGGCCCTTAAAAATGATGTGTTTAAATTTTAATTAAGAACTTTGGTACAAGTGGGCCCTAATGTCCTAATATCACTAATATAATAAAAACCGGCCATGTGCGTGTCGTGCCACGCGCAGTGCAGGGTTCCGTAGTTGCCTGTAGTTACCACAATATATTTGCGCAGGAGTCTTTATTTTCTGTATCGGAAATGAGAAAATCAATTAATATCAATCTTTGTATCTCAACTAAAATACCTAAATCAACATCAAACTGCGATTCAAAATCAATTCGATATTATTTGTAAAGTGAAAACTTCTTTAGCGGCGTTGTACACTTTTTTTGTGTGGATAAAAAATGTTAAACTCGCGTCATGACACGTGGACTGATCGCATCATAGGCCACGTGTCCTGATCGTAAGACGAAAACAATAAAATTGGAAAGGTTGTTGACTTTCAATATATTGGACGAAACATAGTAATATTTTATTTTATCGTATTATAATAATAAGTCTCTATCTAGGACATCCAGGTGGCAGCTTTATTGCGAAGAAAATTCACTTTTTTACAATAGATGTCGCTAGGTGCGCTTAAATGAGAAATTCTGAGAGATAAACTTTTTAATGTAATATAAATTGTCATGTTTGTGTAATATTCAAGTTTTTACTTCTGCCGGCACTCCCGGAGTGCAACCCGTCGTTTTTTTTTTAATACAAATGATAACCGCCGATTTTTTTTATTTCCTCGCAAGCGGGGGAGCGATTATGAAATTCTCATGGATAACCTACAGCAGGCTGCAAGATTATGTCAGACTCTTGCTGACTAAAACACACCCGTAGTTCAAGTTTATGGCCAGAAGGACGTTACAAACTTCATCTGTAGCGATCATCCCCTGAGAAAGTGATGTGTGGTATGACCGCCGATCTTTTGAGTGCTTATAAACTTTTTATAAAAATGTAACGTTAGCGCGACTCGGAAGCTGTTACCGTTGGTACAATATTTTGCAAACTGATTCCTAAATTGGGTAATAGTCTTAGAAACCCCTTAGGAATTTTAAAGAACCTATTCAACGTAATCTCACACGATGGGGTATATGATGAAAAAAAACATCCCCAGGTTACATGTAGGAGAGCTACCCTAAATTACAAATTTTATTCTACCAATTTGGTACATGTAACCTGGGGATGATTTTTTTCAGCTTTCCTACATGTAACCATTGGGGATGTTTTTTTTGGCGTGATCAATATAGTACATATCTCCACAAAATTACAGCTCTTTAGTACTAATAGTCCTTGCCAGGACTACGTAACCTTAAACAAACAAACTCTTTTATACAATGGGCACCGAAACCAATCGAAGTTGAGTCACAATTTTTTTTGAAGTGAAAACTTCTTTAGCGGCCTTGTAGCCTTTTTTTTTTGTATGGGTAAAAATTATTAAACTCGCGTCAGGTTAAGCACGTGGGCTAATCGCATCATAATACACAATAAAATTGAAAAGGTTGTTGACTTTCAATATATTGGACGAAACATTATAATAATAAGGCTCTATCTAAGACATCCACGTGGCAGCTTTATTGCGAAGAAAATGCATTTTTTATACAATAGATGTCGCTAGGTGCGCTTAAATATGATTCATGTTAGTTGATTTCTTTACTTTTATACTGATAATTAAAGCGATTCGTGGATAATAACATACCTAACCATTCCAAAATATCAAAAATGCACAACGATAATATTCAAGTTTTCACTTCTGCCGGCACTCCCGGAGTGCAACCCGTCGTTTTTTTTAATAATTTATCAATGATCATACCTATCGTAATATGACCAGTTTAATAAATTGCGTTCATTGATTTTGTGTTCTCATCCTTGATATTCAAGTCAAAGGCAGTAGCCAACTATCTATTCTATAAAACTAAAAGTAATACATAACGGGCGTTGCGGACCGTCGCTGTCCCTGATTTATAACACAAATGCTTCATACTTTTCTAACAGAGTGTCTGTATGATATAGTGTTTATAATATTAGTTTTTACTTATGAAATTGCTGATTTATTATTTCTTTCTTATACTGTTTTGTTATTGAAATAAAGAGAGTGAATTTATCAATAAAGA